GACGTCACCGCCTGGGGTCCACCCCCAGCCTCGCAGCTGTGGGAGTCAGCATCCCCCTCCCCCGCGGCTGCTGGCGAGAGAGTAGGAGGGCAGGGACAGTCCAGCCCCAACCTCCCTTCCCTCAATTCAGGGGAGGTGCTGGGGAGGGATGGGGGCAAGGAGCTGACGAGCTAGGGAGAGGGTGGTGACAAAGAAAGCAAAAAGAAATCATGCAGAACGGGAGGTCTTGGTGGTCTGGGTCTGTAGCCTGTGACCTGGGTGCACTGAGTGTGGGGGTCCTGCCAACCCCCAGCATCACTCCTGGCCCCAAATCCTCCCAGGCACTGTGGGCTCCTTCCCCAGCCCCCAGCTCCAGCCCCAGCCCCAGCCCCAGCCCCAAGCCCTAATTGGTAGGACTATCTGGGTGGGCTGGGAAGTCAGGCCTGGTGGTAGGGGCTGCCTGGAGGGGTGGGGGTGGGGAGAGATGGGGGAGGGTAGACCTCCTTGTCTTATTCCCACACCAACTTCTCCTTGATCTTTCTTGCGTCTGTGTCTATAGAACACACACTGACTGAGCCTTCTGAGACCCGGAGGTCCCTTCAGGGGAAGGGCTGCTCCTGGGTCTCTCTTGGGGAGCAGAGAGCCTTCCGACTTCTGAACCTGCATTGAGAAGCAGGGTGCACACCAGAGGGGATTAAAAACAATCTCTAACGTCTCAGAGCTCAGCGTGTCTGCCGTGTGGGAACTTGGTTGCTGAGAGGGTGGCTGGTAGCAGACAGCCTCGCGTATTTGTCGGGGACCCCCTGGACCACCTCCCCCCAGGGGTGACTGCTCATGTCTCCAGGAATACACCCGCCTTCTGGGAGGAAATGGGTCCCCTTCTTGTTGTATTCAGTGCAGCGACATGGGTTAGTGTGCATTAGCTGTGGGAGAGGAGGCTGATGGCACAACAGCTTCTGAGAGGGAGGGATGGCACAAGGTGGCCAAGAGGTGCCCATCCTCCCAGGGGCCGCCTCCCTGTGTTGAGCTCTCTGCCCTGAGGACACTCTGGTCAGCACCGGAGGATTTAATGAAGGGGCCCAGCGTGGCCTCTGTGGGATGGGGGGCTGCTGGCCCAGGGGTAACCTGGTGTGTGTCCACCCTGTGGGGAGGAGGGTCAGACACCGTGTCTCAAGCTGGAGCTCACATTCGGGCCCTGCTGCGCTGTGGGTCTGGAGGCTCGGACCCCCTCAGAGCAGATGCTGCCCACCTCTCTCTAACAGGGGTGAGGGGGTGTCTGTGGGGAGCAGGCCCTGTGTCTGAGTGGGGCTCAGTGGGGAGGGGAGGGCAGAGCCTTGGTTTCCCTCACAATCAATGGATGAAGCTGCCTGAGTAAGAAAGCAGCACAGACCAGCGCATCCTGGAGCAAAAGTTCAGCACAACCTGCTGGTTCTGAAAGAGAAAATACTGGAGATTTACGTGCCCGCACTTATGTTTTATCCCAAGACCAGAGCAAGTGCTAGGGCTCCACCTCGGGGCCCCTGGCCCTCAGTTGCAGTGACATCACCCGTAGCTTCAGTTTGCAAATCCCAGAAATGAGGGGAAGCTGTGAGGCACTGCCCCACCCGCTCTCTACAGAGGCGAGGCCCTGAGTTCCAGACTGCACCCCTCTACTTGCCCGTCCTCTTGGCTCCGGGGTCCTCCCATAACTGCTGGGTGCCAAGGTGGATGCTGAGCCTGCAGTGGAAGGTCCCTAACCAGCTCCTGGGAGCAGGGAGCTGGACATCTGTCTGTCTGTCTGTCTGAACTCTTCCCTCCAAAGTGGAGATGGAGCCAACCTGGGGAGGGGGTGGGAATGTGGGGATGGGAGAAGCATAAGGGTGCCGCCAGCGTCACAGGGCAGGGTGGCAACGTGAGGGCCGGCAGCTTCCCGGACTGGAGCAATCAGTGCAGGAATGGATGCCTGTGGGGTGTGGGCTGCTCCACACAAGATTCCTTGAAGCCAGTGAGGCTCTGAGTGGTTTGTAGGAGGTGGGTAGAGAGCAGTTTCTGGGGAGCAGAGTTAGGGGGGGTCCTCAGGTTAGGCCCAGCCGAGATGTCCTGATCTCCCAAATGTGAGCTAGTTGTTCCCACCTGGCTGCCCTGGTCGGATATCCTGGTTCCTCCTGCCCTGTCCTCTTCCCGGGGAGGCCGAGCTGCCCCAGTGCGCCCTGGTGGCCATGGGTCAGTGTGGGACTGAAGAGGGTGGCTGTGAGGAACAGTGGGGTGAAGAATGGAGAAATGCAACTTAACAAAAGCTTGCAACTAGGCCTGGGGCCTGGGGAGGGTGCTAACTGCTCTGTTTCTGTCTGACAGCCCTGCAGGAGAAGTGCCCGCGCCAGCCAGTGGCCGGTGCCCCCTCGCCAGGAGAGAGTGGTCCTTGTGGAGGGTCGGCCGTGCTGGAGGGAAGGCTCCTGCTGGAGGTGAGCTCCCTTAACCCCTTGATCACACGCAAGGTCACAGGCCTCTCCCCGGGGCCCTGAGGCTGTGACCATTTACAATGAACTAGTTAGGGCTCTGAGGCGTCTCTGTGGATGGAGCCCCAGGATCTCTTGGGAGCAGCACACATCTGGGGGCTCAGATGCTCCAGGTGAGTGCTGGACAGAGACGACCAGCCATGGCCGGGCGTCAGATCTGAAAGCCATTTTCATTCTGCCTTCTCTGGTTTTACTTATCCATGGGAAAACCTAATAAAATACTAAGCAGGATTTTTTTTTTCCTTTCAAATTAAGGACAGGAAATTGTGTATTAAGCTTCCTGAGGTCTGGCAGGTGCGGCTGGCTGGTCCATTTATTGATATTACACGCTGATGGCGAGGGCCGGGCCGGCCCTTTCTTCTGAGATGGACACTGCCCTCCGTGATTCTGGGGTGTTTCCCTGGCCCTGCCATGTGGGCCTTTCCATGCAGGATGGGGGAGCCATGCTCTGTTTCTTAGGAGATGTAACGCTGAGGAGTTTTCTGGGTTGTGTCAGATCAGTGTTTCACAGAGTGAGGGTGTTGCTGCCTCGCTGGGGCCAAGGACTCTGAGCTCCCCAGGCCCTGGCCTGTCCTTCCTCAGCAGGGGCTGGGAGGAGGCAGCGTCCCTCCGTGGGAGGGTGTGGGGGACACAGGGAGAGAAGCCCATGGCAGGCGGCCCCATAACCAGCAGCCAAGGTGCTCCTGCAGCTCCAGGTGCTTCCCCGGGAGGAGCCGGGCTCACGTGTCCCCCCAGAGTGTCCACTTCAGACCCCGACGTCCAGAGCAGAACTGGTCCTTATGCCCCAGCCCCATGTGGTGGGCGGTTCCGTCCCCCGGGTGAAGCCCCCTCGACTCCTCTCCTCCCACATTCGGTTCATCTGTTAGGTCAGTGATGGCGAACCTATGACACGCGTGTCAGAGGTGACACGCGAATTCATTTTTTTGGTTGATTTTTCTTTGTTAAATGGCATTTAAATATATAAAATAAATATCAAAAATATAAGTCTTTGTTTTACTATGGTTGCAAATATAAAAAGAATTTCTATATGTGACACGGCACCAGAGTTAAGTTAGGGTTTTTCAAAATGCTGACACGCTGAGCTCAAAAGGTTCGCCATCACTGTGTTAGGTGATGGCTGAAAGGCAGAAATGGTGAACTGCTGGTGCCATTTAAGCCGGGTCCAGTACCCCTTCTCTAAATGCTGGCAGCAGCTTCGCTCCAGGCGCTTCTTCTGCACCCCAACCTGCTCTGTGGCAACCAGAACAGGCAGAGCCTGAAAGGAGACCCGGGCCCTGCTCCCTGCCTGATGCCCAGGCTCCTGGAATGACCTCCGTGGTCCCTGCGGCTCCTCCCCGGGGGGGGGGGGTGCAGCCTTGCAAGGGAGGATAGATGGTCCCCTGGGCTCGGCCCTCCCACAGGGACAGGTGGCTGACCATGGCCAGCCTGGGGTGGCCTCACTGACCAGAGCAGCGCCAGGCCACCTGGGGGCTGCGTGTGTGAAGTGGGGACACCAGGTGAGGCCCCACCCTCAGGCTCACTCAGCCCCTCAACCCTCCTCCTCTGTCCCCAGCTCTTCAGCCCATCTTCCCTCAGTGCTTTTCTGGGTCCCCCTGGCAGCTTCCCTGAGAAGTCTCATAAGTTCTTTAAGGATCAGCTGTCTAACCGGCTTGATCCTCATGGTCCCCACAGGAACCACATGGCCCCCAGGACCCCATGCCCCCCCCAACATCTCTGCCCTGTTGAAGGGTTTGGGTGTGCTCTCATGAGGATCAATGAGCTTATAAATTATTTCCTTTTTTAAAAATAAAAATATGTGAGGAAGTACATTCTTGCCGTCTAGTTTGCTGGGTCCGTGGGTGTTTGGGGGACTCCCGTCCTAGAGGGAGTGTGGGTTTCATTTCAGGTCTGTCTGGAACAGAGCGTGGGTCCAGCCTCAGCGTGTGTGTGTGTGTGTCGGGGAGGGGGGGGGAGGATGTCATGCTCTCGGTGGAGGAAATACTTCCATACTTCAGTATTTATCAGGTTTTCAGGAAGCAAATTCTTAAATATTATTTTTCCTTAAAAAACTTTTGTCAGTGCTATAGTAAAATTGGAGCTGGAATTGTGGCAATTTGGATTTTATTCTTGGCAAAGATAATTGGCATTACATTTTTATGATTCATGTTCAAAGTTAAGATAATAAAATCTTAATCATAAAATCTTTTAAAAACTTTTGTTCTGAGCTATAATTACAGGAGCTTATGCACAAAGTGCCCAGCCTCCCTGGTGGAGCTCAGGGGACAATTTCACATATGTTCACACATGTCCTCACCACCAACCCTCGTCCTGCTTCTCTGCTGGGTTTGCAGAGAGCAGCACCCCAGAGGCTGTCCTGTGCATCGCCACCTCCCTGTCCCCCCCCCCCACCCCCTGCCCCGTGGTTCTTCTCTGGGGGCTTGGTCTTCCCTGGAGGCCTCAGGGCCTCTGACTGAGGCTGAAGCCCAGGAACTAAGGACCAGGCCTGACTCCTGAGTGCCCACAAGCTCCCTCAGGGGCTGGGAAGTGGGGAAGGCAGAGCTCAGCCCCATTATCTGCCACTGATTTTCTGAGTTCTGCCCAGTGTGTGTGGATGTTTTTGGAGCTACCCTCCTGGGTGGGACGTCTTCCTTGGAAAAGGCTGAGGGGTCGGGTCCACTGCCCATCTGCTCAGGGCACTGCAGGCTGTCCTGGTGCCCATCCTGCCCATTGGCCACCAGCCAGGTCGGAATAGTGCTCTCCACGCCGCATTTGAGAGCATGAGATCTCTAAATGTTCTTGAAGCCTCATTCATTCTGCCGCCTCTTGTTTATGGTTCTCTGTGGCCCACAGGAAGTTTCTGGGAGCTTCCTTTGGTTGCCGTCAGGGAGGTTATGTGGTGAGTGTCCTCTTTCACCTGCTGATTCTCAAACTTTGGGTGAGAGACTCTTCATGAAGTTTAAAAGTATTCCCAAACAGAGCAAAAGAAGCAGATTAAGCAACAATAACAAGAAAATCCCAGCTTTTATTTCTAATCTTCAATCTCTCGAAGACAGACCAGAAAAAAGGGAGAGGTTTATGGCAGGGCATTAATTCATAAAAAAATTCATAAAAATATTAGAGCTGGCGCAGACTTTAGAGTGCCTGTGGTCTAATGCCTGTTATTTCAAGATGAAGAAACCAGGGTTTGCAGCTGTTAGGGGCTGGTCCAGGGTCCCCGTTGAGGCTGGGGCTGGAGCTGGACTCAGACCCGTGTTTCTTTGTCTGAGTTTAGTGGCTCTTGGGCCCAGTGGCTCCAAGCCCTTAGATCCCCTGGGAACCCAGGAGAGACAGACAGACAGGCAGACAGACAGAGCTGCCACCCAGTGAGCACTTTGGCACAGGTGCTGCGTATGGCCTGGGGCTGGGAGCTTGGTGGGAAGAGGAAACCAGGAGCGGATGTGGTGGGATAGAGGGTCCTGGCCGTGCGTGCACACACACACGCACACACACACACACACACACACACACATTAGATGTGAATAGAGCAACGCTGTGAGCTTTGAGCAGGGTCAGGGTGCCTCCGTTTTCATTTCTACTTGTAAGGTGGGCTGCAAGGCCATTGTGTTTAGTGCGGAAATGATCATGTTCGCAGGAACTGTGAACTTGGGCCTGGGGGGTGGAGTCAGATTGATGGTATGACTGCTTGACTCTGGCTGGAGTTCAAGTGCATTGTGGCTGCATGATACATTTTCTGAAATTTTTATTTTTAATTGAATTTACTGTGGTTACATTGGTTAATAAAATAGGTATCAAGTGTACAATTCTTATATATTCTATTGTGTATTCACCATCCAAAGTCTAGTTTCCTTCCATCATTATTTATCTCCCCTTTCCACTCTTCTACCTCCCCCTTTCCCTCTGGTAATCACCATACTGTCCTCTGTGTCTATGAGGTTGTTTTTATGTTTTTTTCATTTAATCCCTTCTCCAGTTTCACCCAGACCCTCTCCCCTCCGACAGCTGTCAGTCTGTTCTCTGTATCTCTGAGTCTGTTTCTATTTTGTTTATTTTGTTCATTAGATTCCACATATAAGTGAAATCATATGGTACTTGTCTTTCTCTGACTGGCTTATTTCACTTAGCATAATACTTTCTAGGTCCAGCCATGTTGTCAGGAAATGTAAGATTTCCTTCTTTTGCCGGAACCGGTTTGGCTCAGTGGATAGAGCGTCGGCCTGCGGACTCAAGGGTCCCGGGTTCGATTCCGGTCAAGGGCATGTACCTGGGTACATGATCGAGGCAGCTGATCGATGTTTCTCTCTCATCGATGTTTCTAACTCTCTCTCTCCCTTCCTCTCTGTAAAAAATCAATAAAATATATTAAAAAAAAAAGATTTCCTTCTTTTTCGTGGCTCAGTAGTATTCCATTGTGTAAATGTACCACAGCTTTTTTATCCACTTATCTACTGATGGGCACTTAGGTTGCTTCCAGACCTTGGCTGTTGTAAATAGCACTGCAATGAACAGAAGAGTGCATATATTCTTCTGAATCAGTGTTTTGGGTTTCTTTGGATATATTTTCAGAAGTGGAATCACTGGGTTATAAGGCAGTTCCATTTTTAATTTTTTGAGAAGCTCCATACTGTTTTCCATAGTAGCTGCACCAATCTGCATTCCCACCAACAATGCATGAGGGTTCCCTTTTCTCCACATCCTCACCAACACTTCTCATTTGTGGATTTATTGATGATAGCCACACATTTTGACAGGTGTGGGGTGATATCTCATTGTGGTTTTAATTTGCATTTATCTGATGATTAGTGACATTAAGCATCTTATCATATATCTATTGGCCATCTGTATGAAGTGTCTATTCAGGTCCTTTGCCCATTTTTTTTTTTTTAAAAAATTGGATTATTTGCTTTTTTGGTGTTGAGTTGTTTAAGTTCTTTATACATTTTGGATATTATGTATTATTGGTGAATATA